AGCTGTCAACCAACACCCCCAGGTCCTTTTCCACCAGGCAGGTCCTACCCCCTGCTCAAGCAGGGCCACCTACAGCCAGTTGCTGTGGACCATGTGGAGGCAGCTTTTGAGCATCTCCAAGGATGGAGACTCCACAACCTCCCTGGGTAACCTGTGCCAGTGCTCGGTCACCCTCGCAGTGACAGTATGTTTCCTGATGTTTAAAGGGAACCTCCCGTGTTTCAATTTGTGCCTGTTGCCTCTGGTGCTGTCACTGGGCACCACTGAAAAGAGCCTGGCTCCATCCTCTTTGCACCCTCCCTTCAGGTACTTATGTCCATTGATAAGATCCCCCTGAGCCTTCTCTTCTCCAGGCTGAACGGTCCCAGCTCTCTCAGCCTTTCCTTGGAGCAGAGATGGTCAAGTCCCTTCGTCTTCGTAGCCCTTTGGACTCTCTCCAGCCCAGAACCGGACACAGTACTCCAGGTGTGGCCTTACCACTGATGAGTAGAGGGGAAGGATCACCTCCCTCAACCCGCTGGCAGTACTTTTGTCTAACACAGCCCAGGATACCGTTAGTCATCTTTCCTTCAAGGACACATTGATGGTTCCTGTTCAACTTAGTGTCTCCCAGGACCCCCAGGTCCTTTTCTGCTAAGCTGCTTTGCAGCCGGGCAGCCCCCAGCATGTACTGATGCAGGGGTTGTTCCTTCCCAGGATTTTGCACCTCTCCTTGTTGAACTCCATGAGATTCCTGTCAGCTCACTTTTCCAGCTTGTCGAGGTCCCTCTGGGTGGCAGCACGACCCTCTGGCATATCAGCCACTCCTCTCAGTTTTCTATTGTATGTAAAATTATTCACACTTGTTTCCACATTATTGTTTGTGTAATGGAGCCTGTGCCATGAAAGGCTCTGTTCTTGAGTTACATTTCTCTCTCGTGTACCACGCAGACAGTGAAAGTCTTTAGTCTCGTGTTCTGCTGAGTCTGTAGGCAGGATCTCGTAACGACTTGGGATGACTGAGAGCTTTTTTCTCTGCCTAAATAAAAGAACAGTTGGAACAGCAGAGTCAGCTGGATACAGATCTAAAATGGTTTGCAAGGAGCTCCGAATGTTGTTTGGGTTTATTCTGTCAGTGCAATAATTCTGATCTTAGCTACTGAAAATGTTTGCTTTCCTTCTGGGGGTTTTTTTGGCATAACTGTAGTGGGCTGATGAAACTGCTGGTCTCTGTCCATTCCACTCTTTTTAAAGTTATATTTGCCAACTCATTTTTCAAACTTTTCTTTTAGAAGCGCTTCCACAATTCTCTATCTCAGTTTTTACTTACTACTTCAAGGGCTGTTCTAGTGTTTGGCTGTTTCAGTCTGGGAACTGCAGAAGATGGGAAAACTGTAAGTGCCATACGTGCTGTAGACTCCTCTGAAACTGGTTGTTCTTCTCCTTCAGTTTTGCCTCCTGAAAAAAAACCCCAAACCACCCCACACTTTGGATGGTTTGAATTTGTTTTAATTCTATTTTGATAATAAATTATTATTACAAAGGCTTATTTCTGGCCTTTGATGTCCACCTGACCTTGTCCCAAAATACTCATTTAGAACAACAGTAGTCTTGAGAATTTATTCTTCGACCAATTCTCTTCATTAATAACTTTATGGTTGTTGGAGACATTTGAAAATGAGTTACAAAATGGTAATTAACTGGCAAAAACGTTCGTTATCAAGGTACACTGTTGCTGTACCATGGGTCTGAGGAATACAGCTACATGTCACTGGGTACATATAACACTGCTTTTTTTTTGCTTTTTTTTTTTTTTTCTCTTCCCTTCTTTCAAGTTCCCAGAAAAGGTTTCATATATTTGGCTCATTCTGCTTTTTGGTATACAGGCTAATCTCTTGTCAGGATGACTCCACTGCAATTGGTGTTGCTTGGCTTTCAAAAGACTGAATTATCCTCTCTCTCACAAGCAGTTATCCTTGTGTCTGGGTTGAACAGTGAACACACTGAAATGCTCTGTGTGAGCTGAAGTTTGGATACACATCTATAGAGAAAGGTGCTTTGCAGCACTGTACGTTGTTCTTTATCCTTACAGAAGAAATTGTACTGACATAACTGTGCTCACACTAGAAGTGTTGCTGCTTTAGCATTCTTAATAATGAAGAAAGTTTTCTTTATAAAGCACAACATTTCCTTTGTGAACAGCCTCCAGGTTTGCTGTTGCATCTTACACAAGTTTAAGATTTTCATTTGAAAAGGGGACAGGAAAAAAAAAATCATAACCTTACTTGTGTAAGAGTTACACATTCTAAAATCCAGACACGAATCCTTGCTGGCATTGAAGACACCTTCAAAGGTCTGATATATCCCAAACAGCAGGAGGTTTGCAAATATACTGCAACGAGGGGTTCATTAATCTTCCAAAACTGGAGATGTGAAATATGTGAAAAAGAAAAAAGGATCCTGTCTTTGAGCAGGACATTTCTTTTAAAATATTTCTTATGTTACAAGCATAACTTTGATAAATGTTTCAAGGAAGTGATAGCTTTGTCAATTGAAATTTTTAAGGTCTAACTTTCACTGTAGGTTAAACACAAAGAATAAATTTTTGGGGGAGGAGTTCTGTGTGTTTTGTTCTCTTTTAAATCAGATTGCCCCCCTGTGCCATCATTAAAATAATGGTAAAAACAGAACTTCAGAAAGGTGTATTTTCTTTGTTAGAGTTTTCTGGTTTTCGTTTTCTTAGACATGTTTCCTGGAAGATGATAACCTTTTTTTTGTGTGTTTTTAGAATTACTAGGATTCAATTGCTCTGAAGCTTTGCTTATCTTGAGTCTCTCCTGGCTGCTTAACGCCAAGACTTTAGAAAGCTAGTCCATCTTTCTCTGTTTAGAGGCTCGTCGTGCTCCTAAATGCTGCAGCATAGAGAGATACAAATCAGAAGAGAACTGAGGAAGACAGTTGTCAGTGCTCCTGATTTTTTCAAATAAGCCCAGTAAGAACCAAACCACTGAATGAGAGTGCGAGAACGGTGACATATCAGAGGCAAGACTGATAAATAGTTTATATAACAACTTGAGTTATGCACAGTTACTGAGTTATCCCCTTCTGACCTGTTTCTAATACAAGCTTTATGTGTCAGAACAGAATGTGTCAGGAATGGGGAACTTAATTTTCTATTTCACAACTAAGAATTGCATGCAGGTTGTTCTGTGTTCTTAGAAACTGTAGCTAGAATATCTTTTATACATTGTTTTTGTGCAAATGTTTTAATACGCATTTAGAAAACTGATTATTAGTTTAGAAATATGATCTGAAATCTGTTAGCTTTAGAAATGGCACATCCTGGGTTTTTTGGTGATTTCACATGTTTGTTTGGTATGCAGACATGCATTTCAGCATTTCAGTTGTAGTTTTACAAGAATTAAAAAATCAGTTATACTTTTTTCTTTATTGCTGAAAATCTTTAAAGCTTTGTGATATTGTTGACTGCCTTTTACCATTCCCATTTATAGTTTGTAATAATAGTGAGTTATTTGTGGCTTGTCCTGAAATACTGTGTTGCTAAGAATCTGATTTTTTGGGGTCTAAATTACAAAATTTGGAGTAGTCTTCCCAATATTTGTAGAATAAATGCTGTTCAGCAGAGGTGATACAATTTTGATAGGCCTTCCTATCCTGGCTTGTAAGCATCACCTGCACAGAGTGATGCTTTGGCCTGTGTGTCCCCGTGCCTCTGCTGATTGAATCAGCAGAGGTCCCAGATGGTGTCACTGGACACTTTCAGTCCCTCAAAAGACACTGGAACACTTTGTCCCTAGCAGGTCATCCTTTTGCTAGGACAATTGATATAATTGCATTTTTCTCTTTAGCATGTTGTGTGTCACTGTTCCTTTTGTTCAGAATGTTGTAGATTGTAGTACATTTTTATTTTCTTTTCTTTTTACAGTTTCATAGGAGAATTTATAAAGGAATCCCACTGCAGTTCAGAGGGCAAGTCTGGTCTCTACTACTTGATGTCCCTAAAATGAAAGAAGAAATGAAAGACTTCTATAATGTGAGTTTGTAGAATTTCCACTTAATTAAAAAATTTCAGATACTGAGGCTACAGGCTTTATTAAGATTTTGTTGTTATGCAGTGTTTAAAAAAAAAAAAAGGATTAGGAATTACATTGAACTCTACTGCTTGTTTTAGCTAGGAAAAAAGGCTGTGTATTGAAAAGCACTTTCCTAGCTTATTTGTTGGTTCTGTAATTCATGTAATTAATTTGATCTTCTTTCCATTTTTTTTCCCCATCCTCAAATACTTGCAAAAGCCCTTCTAAAAGCAAAGCAAAACAAAATAAGAAACAATCGCTGTCCCAGTAAGAAGACAGAAACCTCTGAAAATACAGCTCTCTGAGAAATGTCTATTAAGGAAGCACCTTGTTAGCTGAGTATCAGTAAAAAGAGTTCCAGTATTCTGAAGGGGATGGAGATTGGTGCCTTACCTTGTAAAAGCCAGAACAAGCTGGCTATCTTTCTGCCATCTCATCTCCAAGTGAAGCTTAGGTGTCCCTTACAAAGCCCTGTCTGGTTACTTGATTGTATTCTCAGTGGTGCACCTGATGACAGGATGTGAACCCCACAAAATTCTACAGGCATAAATTGACCACTTCAACACATCTCCTACTTAGAATATAAAGAAAATAGCTATATCTTCCCCCACCAGCCCCCATCGTCACCCTGAGTAGCAGTTAAAGCAACCTCTGAATTACTGTGTTTATGTTTCTCTAAATTTTTCCCTACTGTACTTTTTCTGTGGGTGTGAATACAGCTGATGACCATCAGAGCTAAACTTCAGACCCAAGAGTGGAGAGTAAGGTTCCTGTGCAGGCTAGTGAGTTAGGCAGAAGGGGAATCGAATAATTTTAAATTCTTTCTTACCCCCCGCCCCCACCCCCCGCTAAAGGATTATAGGGAGAGTTTAGCTAACAAAAAAGCAATTTAGTCTTGTAGCGTGTTTGAAGTTTTCCCCCCAAGAATTTAAATGTTCACTGCCTTTGAATGAAATAATGTCCATAGTTTCAAGGAAATGCGTGGCTGCTTTGATTTTTGCTATTGTCTAATAGCACTTTTTTGGAGCTGAGACTTTAAGTCTGAGTAGACAAGGAATCTTCTAAGGCCATGAAAGAAGATCGATGTTGACATTGATGTTATCTAAATTTTGGTGTCTAAATAATTTTCCTCTTAAATTGTTTATCACTCTTTAGTCTGACAGTCTGCTGTTTCTGATTATTGTATTTTGTTTAACTTCGTAAGTAAGACTAGTGGCAGGTCCAAAAGGGGTAAAACAGAGTTCATGCTGAATAATGTAGTTGTGGGAAAGAATACTAAGTAAAACTAGAAGCATTTAAAAATAAGTGAATTCATCTTCAGAGATAATTAATGCCATCTAGTGCTCAGTTCAAAATAAAAAAGTGTTTGTAGTTCAGATATAGAAGTAGAGTTTCTTCCATCATTATCCTAGCTTGTTTATTTGCGATAAGCTCATTTTACTGCTCTCCATCTTTTCTCATTTCCCAAAGTGGTTTTAACACTTCTCATTACAAGTATCACTTACAAATTGCACATCTTAAAATTAGAAGAAAAATATGCGCATTTGCATATTGGTCAAACAACTTCCTTCAGTTCTCTGTGCAGGGCAATTACCAGTTCTTAATCTTCCGTTCTTTCTGTTTCTCAAACTCTAGGTACCCTTTCTTTTCACTCACGCTAGAGGCTAATGGCAAGGACTCAGGGTGCTTCTTTTCCTATATTCCAACATATCATAGGCTCTGGGTCCTCATGCCGCCTTAAAACTATAAATTTGCACTCCCTCTGTTTGGGGGACAAATCATTCTGGATGTTAGTACTTTAAATTATACTGAAAGGTGCACGAAGCTGTGATTGTGGTTAGCGTTGTGCTGGTTAATGGCTGCTACCAGTTGGTTCATTGATTTATGAGTAATTTCCAATATTCCTGAAGCTTCTGGTTGTATTCAACAGACTGAATGGGTGTTGATGTTCCCTGTTTGATCCCTTTATTTTTCTTATTTTTGTCTTTAAGCCTTTTTGTTTTCTTGCAACCAGAATCTGTAGAGTTGTGCCTTTTGATTGTCTGTGGTATTCTCTAATAATGCCTACTCAAATGTAATGTTTTGAAAATACCATGCTGAATCCAGTTAGGAATGTCTTGCAAGCTCAACTTTTAGGGACAGAAGTGGGAATGAATGAATGAATGTCAAGAGAAAATTACTGTAAGTGCAAAAAATAAGGTGGCAATCTAACCTGTGCAGGCTTCTTAAGTATTCAATTGCAAAATTGGATTTAATTATAAAACATTAAAGCAAGTGCTAAAGTAGAGGTATTCTACAATTAAATTGGATTAGAACAGAAGGACAGAGGAAATTACTAGATAAATGTCCATTATCTGTACTTAGATAATGAGCGGCAGCTATGTAGCTATTACTTCTGCTTAGACGAAAAGGCAGTGAAAGTATGAAAGCCACACTAAATCATTTGCTAAAAGTCCAGTCTGGAGCACTTGTATCTTAGGTTCTTGTTCCTGAGTACTAGAATTCACTTTCTGTCTTCCTCCAGTGATGTGCCTACCTGAGAAATGGCAATTAGAAATTTAAAATGCTGAAACATAGCCTTGAATATACGTAGTGAATGGTGTGTCACAAAAATGTGTAATATGGGATTAGTCTTTCTACATTGATACTGTGCGAATGTGTCTGACTCTCTATAGAATTCATGTATGTGTATGCATGTTTTGGAGTTTAAAATTGTTGTGAGTTGCTATTCTATATTAAGCTTTTTAAATCATGAGATGGCAAATACTTCAGTATAGGTGTACAGTCAGGCAGGTTTTGGCTATTTTAGTGCCCGCAATTTTAAACTTAATTTCTGTTCTTTACTGTTTTCCTAGAAATTGAAGTGTCAAGCACGAGGGTCTTCACCAGATATTAGGCAAATTGATCTTGATGTAAATCGAACATATAGAGATCATATCATGTTTCGAGACAGATATGGTGTTAAGTAAGTAAATTAAAAGATTTTATTTTCTTTGTCTTAAAACTAGCTTCCGATCTGCCTCAAGCCTCTTTGACCTATCCAATAATATTGAATGTAAGCTTCAAACTTTCAAAGCAGGATTGTCTCTGTGCAATGATGTAATTACCGTTACTACCGCAAAACCAGACGGCCACTTCCAACCAACTAGTTTTCTCTGACTAAGAGGTGGTCGGTAGCGTTCCAAAGACTACCATTTCTAAACTGTTCTCATCTTGTTTCATGTTTGATAAAAACAGTCTCGGATGCTGTAAATACAAATGCATGGAAATTCCAAGCTAATAAATTAATTAAGATTTATTACCCAATCATTTTATTTAACTGTGTATTTTCAAAAACAAAATAACTTTTTGCATCTGCAATAATTTATCTTCCCAGAGATCTTAGCCTTCCTTTGGATTTTATATTCTTCTTCTACTATCTAATTCAGAACCAAATAAAGCAGTACTTCAGATGTGAGAGAGTTTTTGGGGGGGGGGTGGTGGTTTGTTTTTTTTTTTTTTTTACTGTCATTGGATGAGGAGTATTAGGCGGCTGTCATCTTTAAAAATGCTTAATAGTGAAATAAGTGGTGATACAAACATCAGCATTGTTGCTAGCTTGCAGCATCAGCACCCTGCTGAGATGAAGAGGGCATTTTTTTCCTTTCTGTGACTGTATTAGTTCAGTTTTTAATCTTCTTTTCTTTCCAAGGCAGATTCTACAGTAGTCTATTTTCAAAAAGCAATACTCAAAGAGCTGTGGGCCTTAATGTAATAATAAAACAAACATTTTCTTATATTATTATTATTCTAGGTATTTTGTGGACAAATTCTCAATAGGGGGAATGTCTCTGGCTGCAGCACAGGATGGAGTACAAAGCAGAAATTCCCAAGCTGAGAGCTATTCTGCGCAGCCACTGTAGTTTAGATATATTTGTGCAATGCTATCTGTACTTGAGCTGACGTGCCTCGCCACTCAGTAGTACTGACACAGTGCCATGCAAAAATGGCTGTGTTGCTTCTGGGCCTCAGTTAGGTTTTATGCACACATTTTAGGTGTTAGCAGAAGCTTGCTACCCCGTCAGTTTGGGCTTAACACAAGCAGAGCCAGCTCCGGTGCCTGTAGCTGTGTTGTAAGCATGACCTCAGAGTCCATGGGAAAGCCTTTGGCTGCATAAAGCAATTTCACACTTGGAATAGATCTTGGAATTACTGCACATATATTATGCATTTCCAGTGATGCCTCAATGAAAAATTCAGAAATCATTTCATACAGCAATGAAATAAAGTCCCCTGGGTAAATCAATAGCTTGTTTGACTTTTAAGTAGACTGTATGTCTTTAAAGGTTCATTCTTTTACAGCTCTTTAGTGGTAACATCTAAAGTAAATAGTACTAAAAAGACCATTATTTTATGTATCTTGCTGTGAATGAGATTGAGCTCTTATTTTGAGTTTCATATGTCCACCTGAAGATATAGAAGGTTCCGGTGTACATTTGGGACTTTTTAGTTTGTCCTTGTAAAATAAGACTTCAGCTTAACATCTAGTACTTTAGGTTATGCTTTACTTTGGCTACTGAAGGATGGCTAACCTTCAGTTCTGCAGGAGGCAAACAAAAATGCCATAATCCAGGTGTTTTGGCAAAATTCTCCAAGTATGCATCCTCTTCCCAATAGAAAATACTCAGCTTTTTGCTTATGCTTTCTTTTTTTAACCTGCTAATATCTATTTTTATACATTTGATTAGAGGGCATTTCACTGGATGGAGAAAGGACAGTATAACTCAGCGGTTAAATTTTAGTAGTTTTAGTTGTAGGTGAAAGTAGGCATTCAGATTTCCAAATTCTCTCCCTAACAAATCACAAAAAATAGGCATGAGTTTAAAAATAATTCCTTATGAGAGCTCTCCACCATTACTTTGATATCCTAATTGGAGAAGAGCAGAGTTTGGTTTTGGTTTTGGGGTGGGGTGGTTTTTCATGGATTGGTGTTTGTTTTGGGGTTTTTTTTGGTTTTTTTTTTTTGTCTTACTACCTGCACAAGTTAGTGTTTTCACAGAAAGCAAAGGCCCTATACAAAGTTCTTTGTAATTCTAACTCTGAAGTATATGGAGATCAGTACACTCTGGAGGACTCAGCATAGGATGGCGAGTCAGAGTTGATGTTGTTTTTCTTCAGTTTGACAGTAGCAGTCACTAAAGCAGCCTTTAATTTGGGTGCCAAGATTACGACACCTTTGTGGCTGGTTTGTGTATTTCAACTCTTCTGTGTCTCTGTTTGAAATTAGTAACAGCTGTTAGCATTCTGCAAGCCCAGAAATCAGGTCTGGAGTGTTTGGCATTCAGAATAAATCAGTGTTTGAAACGTAGCCCATCCTATGTTTCACTTTACCTATCTGTAAAAATGATGATCTGACACCATTGCCTTCTCAAAATATTACAGGTATTTTTTGTAACCTTTCAGCATGTAAAACATTAGAAAAGTTCTAAAGATAATGTTGGTTTGAAATCAGAAGCGCATATCATTGTAAAGTGTGGTTTGTCCTGTTCTTTAATGCTAGATAAGTTAAATCGGGGAAACAGATTTCCAAAACATAGTTCACTACTTTATGTTTTTCTGTTTTTACAAAAGACAGTGTTATAGTATTTTCCTTTTCTACTCTTATTTCTCCAGGCAACAGTCTTTATTCCATGTTTTAGCTGCATATTCCATATATAATACGGTAAGTTGTGTACCTTCACACTTAATATGGTTTCTCTGAACGTGCCATGAGATAATAAATTGCAATTCTGTATTTTCTTTCTCTGTAAAAAACCAAATCAACCAACCAACCAAAAAAACCCAACCTAACGTTTCAGAGACCTTTGGAAGTGTGTAGAAATAAATTGTTTGTTGACATGTTTTGAGTTGAAGTTAAAATAAAACAAAGCATCTTTATTATGAGTATCTTACTGGACAGACTGAACTGTGCATACAGTTCAATCAAAACTAAGTATTGTATCTAATAAGAATAATGAATTTGTGCTGTGCTGGTCTTTTATACTACTGGTATTTTCCCCCTATTATATTATATGTCTCCCATTCATTTGAATGGTGAGAAGGAAACCACACTGCAGAAAGATGCATGTTGTAGTAAACAGACATATTTCATAACCTGGAGGGTTCTAACAAATGGAAAATGGTTTTAAAGGTTGCATCTTTACTTAAGCCCTCGGTCTTGGTTCCAGTCCTGGGTGAGGATTTGTTAAGAGTGGGGTTTCCAGACTATATTATAAGGGTTAGAAACATACGTAATTTGTAATGTGTTTTGGCTGCATGCATAAAATAGAAGAAACAGAAATGCTATCATGTCCACATAAAACATGTTTTTTATGCGCTATCCCCTCATTCATTGTGCCCATTTTGATCATTTTTGTACGTCTTTCATTTTATGTCCATCAGCAGCTCCCTAGAATTTAATGTAAAAATATGTAAAGTTAAGAAGAAAGTGAAATTAAGCAGTTGGTCTAATTAAATACCACTTTGTTTCATTTTTCAGAGCTCTAGGAAATGTAACCTTTCTATCCTGTTTCAGTTTCTGTCTCCTTGCAATTGTTGGCTCTTAAAAGAACTGTCATTGCTGGAATTTGTTGTCTTTCACTTGTTATGTTGTCTTAAACTTTTCATTGTAAGCAGTGTCAACACACTGAGAAATAAAACTCTGGAAGGACCTTTATGTATCTCCTATAGAACATGGGACCAATATCTTCAAGTTGCCTGAAAAATATTGCTTAAAATCAACTGTTAAAGTATAATGATGGGAATACTGCACTGAGGTTTTTATTTTGCACTTACGTTGTTGCATTTTTCCTCTTAATGTATAGCAGTTCTTACGCTTTGGTTTTATCTCTAGAGCAAAGTTCTGCTAAGAACCTGAAAACATGAAAAAACTTATTCAACAATTAAGTCATTGTCCTTACAAATACTTTATCAGAGGGGTTATCTGAGCAGCTAAATGATAGTGACAGTTGGTTCCTGCCATAAAAGTCAAAAATTAATAGCAGAGGAAATAACTCAAGTTCAGTTTTGGAACAATATTTTTTTTTCTTTGGGTTTATTACATCTGCTTGCTATGGGCTGCTAAACTTGAGCAGGTTTATAATTATAGGTCACTCTTGAAAATTCCTGTGTTTATCAGATGGTGTTCTGACTGTAAAGCAAAACAAAGCAAGACCCCTTCCCTCCAAAAAAACCCCAAATTACAAGTAAATGGAAAATACATCCATCTGGAGAATAAGATTATACAGTTACTTGAAATTATTAGTACTGACAAGGATTTTGTGCATCAGTAGAGAGTTCTAATGAACAATCAAGACTTCCAGTTTACTTCTCAGTTGGAGGGTTGTGTATCATCCCTTCTGTCTATCAATATTTTAAATGTTTAAATATTAAGTGTGTTTGGTAGTGTCATAACTAGGGAGCTTATGCCATCAGGACAGGCATCCTCTTTCCTCCACTAGCTCAAGGAAGAACTAACAGCCCATGGTTATGAGGCTTTTGTTTTCAGCGTTTTAATATTTTTCACTGTCTGATTTTTAGGAAGTTGGATACTGTCAGGGAATGAGCCAGATCACAGCTTTACTCCTTATGTACATGAATGAAGAAGATGCCTTCTGGGCCTTGGTGAAACTTCTCTCTGGTCCAAAGCATGCTATGCATGGTATGGAGTTTCATGTCACTTAGTATATATTAGGTTTCCACCTTTCCTGTTTAAGTTGTAAAACATTTGAAAATGGAACTATGCTGTTCTGTCTGTATAGTCAAAATAAGACATAATGTGAGCTTTATACTGGGGGGCCATTGGATGTTACTGAAGCTCACCCATAATGGTAAGTAATTGTTTTTATATGTGATACCTTTCAAGTAGTTTTTAATGAAAATCAGATGTTTCCTTTCCTCCTAATCTCTCGGGGAACGTAACCAGTTTGAAGGTTGGTTATGTAGCTATCTATATAAGCAATAAAATACTACTGGAAACCTAATGTAGAATGTGTTAAATAATATTGTGACTATGCTGTCTTTGGCAGGACAGGAGTCCACAGTAAAAAATTGACACTGTATCTAGGCATTAACTTTGAGTTTCTTTGTTTTATCTCTGCCTGGCACAGCATTTCCTGCTGTCTTGTTACTTTTATGTTATTGGCAGTTCTCTCTTTCCATGCCAAATTTGGTATGATCTAGGCATATTCCATGCCTATTGGTATGGAACTACTCCAGGAATTCCAGCATTGTTTGTAGATGTTAATGATGTGGTGATTCAGAAAAGCTGTAGTTCTTGGAAGCCTGAAAAAGTAAATATTACCTAGAACTTGGGCTTTTTAGCAGATTTCTAACAGGCTCTGGCTCCTTTTCCTTGCTTAAGACTTCCTTGTACTGTGATAGCTTCCTTCCCTGGCTTTTCAGTGTTTCTGCATGTTCTCCGCCGCCAGCATGAAGTGCTAGTTGGCTATTCTTCTGTTTATAATTCTGCAAAGCTATTGCCTTTTTTTAAAAAAAAAAAAAAAAACAAAGTGCTATCTGACAATGTCATAAGTGAAATTTTTAATTCCTCAAGGGTCAAAGAGTTGCTTGGAGCTTTACACAATGATAATACAGATTAAAATCATCTTACAAAAAAATCTATAGATTTAATAATCATCAAAAGCTGTGCAGCTACAATTGTGCAAACACAACTATGTAGAATGCTGAGCTCCTCAAAGGTCATGGAAAATTTTAGGTGGTTTGGGGGTAAGTCTAAATCAACTCATTATGTACCAAATCATTTGATCTAGTTGTGATACATAGGAGCTTCATATAGGCGTAGTTGCCTTTTTAAGATGCTGTAGACTGTTAAACAAGATTTTAAAACTTATTCCAGATTTTGTGTTAGTGTTTTGTCCATGTCACCTTTTTTAGAACAGGAGAGTCGTAACCTTGGAATGCGATGCTAGTGGAGGACTGTTAGTATGAATTTCTCAGGCTGATTTTTGTAGTCATCATTTGAACTTGCTGTGATGAACAAAAGGGTTCTTCTGGTAGCTGGTGATGGACTTACACAGGCAGATGTGTCGCTTGTGTACATATGGGAGTCAGTGCACTGCCTGCGTAACTGTTACTGAATACCCCAGTCAGATCTTCCTCTCTCCCTCCTTCACTCCATCCCTTCTCCTTTCCACCCCCAGTTGCAGCGCACACACCTGTCAAGTGATTAGAAGGGGAAGGAGAGAGCCCTGAGTAGCCCAAGGCTTGACGAGTCCCTCTACAGGGCATAGGAACCATCATGCCACAGGTTCATACACCCACTGAAGCTGTCTTGGCAACAGCTATTAAGGAAGCTTGCATTTATAGATATGCTGACAAAACCTTAATTATAACTCAAATGTTCCCAATTTATCATTTATTAAATGTTACCAACCTAATCTAAGGTCCTGCTTTCAGCCGGTTGGACCAGGTAATCTCCAGAATCCCTTCCAAGCTAGATTTCCTATGATTCTTGGAATTGTATATGTTTTAAGTGAGTTTATACCACAGTGCAGCATTACTGTAAATATCACTCTAGATTCTGGAAAGGAAACTTTAAAAATGACTTAACTGCTGTCGTATAACTGTACTTTTTCTGTGTTCCTCTTTGGGGAAAGTACTTTTAAGCACTATTTATCACCTCTTTAAAGCCTACATAATTTCAATTCTAAATTGCCAATTTTCATGTAGGAAAACTTTTATAATCACATTTGATGCCACTGACCACCAGGCAGTTCTCTGAAATGAGCATCTCTATGGAAATTATAGGCGTGGGCTGAGTAATTCAATTAGAATCATATTGACAGCAGTAGGATGGTTAAAAGTTCCTCCCTGTGAATGCTTTCTGGGTGCAACCCATGTGTCTCAGATACATAACCAGACTAATTTCTAGCATAACACCACTTGAAATCAAGGGATGAATTTTGCCTCTCTGATGTTTCATGATGTATGGATGATGTGAAGTCTCTAAATGACAAATACAGGTATCTGACCCTGAAAATTATTTAGGTTTTTGAAAGTTTTTTCTGTGGGGGTTTTTATAGTCTTAACAATTCAAGGTAATGAGTTGGTATATATAAATTGAAAGAGCAAATTTCTATGGAAAAAGCACCTTCGAATGTTATTAATGATGGCTAATTAGATTTGGTGTTGTCATTCACTGTTTACATTAAGAAAAAAACCCAAACAGCTCACCTATATTAGTAAAATTTCCTAATATGCAACCTGAAATATGATGGAATGTGCATTTGTATCTATGAAATACTAAACTTGTGAGAATCTGCGATAGTAAGTCTTGCAGCTTAGTGACCATGCACTGAATTACATAATTGGTAACTAGAAAGAGTTTTCTTTTTGGTTTGGGACTTTTTTTAGTGATTTGTTTTAGTGGGTGGGGTTTTTTTGTTTGTTTGTTTGTTTGTTTTGGGGTCGTTTTGGGTTTTTGTTTGGTTGGTTTTTTTGTTTTTTGGTTCTTTCCAAGTGATGTGTTCTGTGGGTCCATACCTCTTCCCATTTCCATACTGCCTATCATTTTCAAGTAAAAACTGTTGAGGTGATTTTTTTTTATAGCCTTTTTTAATCCTAAGAATATGGAATTGCTGTACCAGACCTCTTTAAGCCAGTGTCCTGTCTCTAATAGTGACTAGCAACAGATACTCAATGAAGTGTCTGAGAATAAGGCAAGCAAAGATCAGCACCTCCTGGAAAATGTATTAGAATCACAAAATGCTTTGGGTTGGAAGGGACCTTTAGA